CACTGAAGGGGACGAAGACTTAATGGACGGGGACGACGGCCGGGAGGAGTACAGCTTTTTCTACAAGGTCTTCAAGGAGGACACGGAGCTTAGAGAGTATTACGAGAAGAATTTCGTGAGAGGAGAATTTGGGTGTCTGGTGTGCGGGGCTCTTGGGGGGAAGAAAACGGGGAAGAAGTATAAGGGGTGTTTGGCCCTCGTGCAGCACTCGATCAACATAGCCAAGACGAAGAAGAAGACGGCCCACAGGGCTTTTGGGCTGGCCGTTTGTAAGGTTTTGAGCTGGGACATTAATGAGCTCTCCAGTATTGTTTCTTTGCTGGCACAGGTAACTTTTGTTCTTCCATTAATTATCGAACTACTATATTTTGTGACGGCTGGATTATTTTTTGATTTTTCAGACTCTTTAATTTTTTAAATTTATGAAGGAAAGATTACATTATTGCAGGGGGATAATGGTGGGGAGAACAAGGAAAACTCGGTAGCTGTTCTCAACAATGTCGTATCGCTGCAGGGCAATATTGTCCAGGGGAAAAATGAGGGAGCGGCTTTAGAAAGCAGACCTAGTGATAGTGGAATTTCGCCTGATGATGATGAAGGGGATATGGTATGTGCATATTGTATAGTGGCAGATGTTTTTAATAGCTTTTGGCATTTTGCTGATGTGCATACTGTACTTGTCTTTGTTCTTTTAGCAGAATCCTTCGTCGTGTTCTCGTGCTGATAAAAACTTGGAAGATCTTGGGATGGTGAGTAATTTGGAAGAACCTGCAGCACAGGATTTGACTAATGTGAGTTTCACGCTTCACTTTTTTTCTCTCTTTTTCTGTATATCGTTATATCTAATGTTATTTGGTTATGATTCCTTTGATGAATGATTCATCTTTAAACCTATACAATCTTGGACTTTTTGGCATGTGTCATCCTCAGTGTTCCTGGGAGAGTGGTTCCTGCTTGTGATTTTTGCTCGTAGTGTGGTTATTAAGCAATGAAGATAGTTCTTTTGGAAGCACATTATGATATTTTTGTTCTAGTTTTTGTTCTTTGGAAATGAAAATTGCTTTTTGCAGGGATCTGGCAGTGATGATGACAACGATACCCCATTAGTTACCCAAACTGTTTTAAATGTGGAGATCGATGCTGTAAAGGGTGAAAATGACGAAGCAGCACCAGAAACTGGTGCTGTTGGTGCTGAAGACTTGCCTAATGTTGATGGAAATATGGTATTTAGTCTTGGAATTGAACCATATATTATTATCTTTATTTCTTTTTTTTTTATTAAAATGAATGAATGGTTGTATTCTGTAGGGGATTGGTAGTGGTTATAACAAGGAGATCCCATCGGCTTCAATTGACAATGTTTTAACTGTAGAGGGTGATGTTGTAAAGAGTAAAACTAATGTAGTACCAGAAAGAGTTGATATTGGTCCTGGAAGCTCGCCTGCTGGTGATGGAGGAGATATGGTACTTATTCTGTGACTGTTTTTATAGTGTTTTGGTGTGCGAAGCAGTATTAACTTTTTTCAATTCTGGAGGTATAAGAGTCTTGATTGACATTGTTCTGTAATTGGCCATTAACCTAGAATCTCTTTCTCATTGGCTTGTATCATCGTCAGTATCTTTCTTGAAATCATTTGTTCTAATTCGGTTAGTAAGAACTGAGTTGTGGGTATCCCACAGATTTAAAGATGAGTTTTGCAGCACATGGAAACCAACTTACTGAGTGAATTTATGGAGGACTTTATGCCTGACTATAACCTGTTCGCATTTGAATACTAAAATTGGAATTTGTACAGGATCATTTCTGTAAGTTTACAATGTAGTTGGAGGTGTTTGAGACTTATTTTTTCAGTGAGTTTTCTGTTATTCCTTCACTACAGAAATTTCAAAAGGTTTTGGACTGAATTTGTGCTGCAAGTGACTGTTTTTTCTCAGAAATCTTTGGCGTGTCTCGATGCTGATCAAAATTCAGAAAAGATTGAGGTGTTGCTTTCAGAACAGTTGGAGAAGCACGCATCAGAGGTGTCGGCAATTGTGAGTCCCCGATTAATTTATTTCATTGTTTCCTATATTTTCTTGCGCGAAGTTTTAGCTTGTCCAATGGATCCATGTGGTCATGAATTGGGCACAAATATCACACGTAAACTCTTTATTGAACAGCTGACTTGCACCCCCACAAAACTCTTTTTTTTTTAGCTCAAATAGTTCTTACTACTCTTCATAGGATCATATCTCGATATTATTTTGCAGCAGTTCTGTTAGAAAGGTTTAGTGGCTCAGCTATGTTTACTTGTGCATGCAACTGGAGAAAAGAAGAACAAAAAAATATCGTACAATTCTAGTGCTTCTTCTATTTATGAAGTTTCTAGAAAAAAAATATATCAAACGACGCAATGCACCTTGGGTCGCTACGGAAACAGCCTCATTGTATAATTACAAGGGTAAGGTCTGCGTACAACTGACCCCCCAGATCCCAACCAGTTGGGAATATACTGGGTATGGTGATGTTGATGTTGAATAGTATAATGTTGTTTTGCTCTTGAAGAAGCGGGGTACAATGCTTTGGAGATGTTTGCTGTTGTTTTGGAGGGTGTGTGTTGCTTTGTGTTATTTCTTAGTAAAAATTATGAATGCCTTTCTTGAGCATTAGCATGTTCACGAAAAGATCTAGTTACCCTTTAGAGTTATAATACACCATTGACAGTGGTTTTCAATATACAATAAACCTTTTTGTGTGGTGTACGTGTCGAAAAATTGCAAATCTCATGCAGACATTTTTAATTTGCAAAACTAAAGGATCTCTATATAGTTGTGGTATGCCTGAAATTCAGATTTTGTGACTCACCCTTGTTCATTGGACAAACACTTGAGAGGATTGTGGGTATTTAATTATTATTATTATTATTATTATTATTATTATTATTATTATTATTATTATTATTATTCTTTACAGAGTTATTTGATGGGCCCTGATGCTAATCAGAATTTGGAAATTATTTGATTCATTTTCTTTGCTTTCGTTACTCGTGTTTCCCTAGAATTGTTTAATCTTGTCAAATTGGCGATCAGTTTTGTCAATTAAATGATATTGGAAGCCAAAATTGAACCTCAGGCATCATTACAGATCAAGAACTGGTTGATATGCTAGGTTTCCTTGCTGTACTTTGGCCAACCTTGTTTCATTATCATCTATAAAAAAGCAAATTAGAACTATCTTAATCATAAGAACTAGTAAACATCAGTTTTCTATGCCTCGGTTTAATTTTTTTTTTCGGACATTTTTATTGCTTGCTGTAGGTGCCTGAAAATGTTCTGAATTGACTGAATAAAGACGATGCAGTTTGAAAAATCAAGAACCGGAACAAGATTGGCTGCAGGTGGTTCGAAATCGAGCATGGGTACCAAATGTTTTGATAAATCAGAGTAAAAATTGAATGGCTGTAGAAAGCTGTTTTTCTTTTTCTGAGTAAACTGAAACAAACTGCACTCATGTACATTGTCTAGGTGATGGTTGTTGATTCTTATTCTAGTACTAATCCTAGAACTTTTGCTAATGGGAATAGACCACCTGCATGACAAAAAAAACTGAGTTGAGCTTCAGTTGCATTAGAAAAAAATATAAAAGAAGGCATAATAAAACAACTATTTAACCATATTTAAAAAAAAAAAAAACATTTTTTTTTTTTTTTTGGAAACAGTATTTGTAGATTTGTAATTAAATGCCATGTTTTAAAAAGGTGTAAAACAATTATTTAATCATATTTTAATAAAAATAACATTTACTTAAGAAATACAACAGATACATCTATTTAAATTTATCTATAGTAACAGTTTTTTTGTCAATCAGTTTTAGTATCAAATTAAACTTTTTTTTTTTTTTTTTTTTTTTTTTTTTTT